GAGCCTCTGACTTCGGCTCAGGTCATGATCTTGCTTGGAGCCCCGCATCTGGCTCTGTGCTGACAGCTCGGAGCCTGGAGCCTGCTTCAGATTCTGGATCTCCTTCTCTCTCTGCCCCTTCCCTGCTCGTGCTCTGGCTCTGGCTCTCAAAAAAATAAAACGTTAAAAAAAAAAAAAAAAAAAGCAGAACTGACTTTCCTCCTCCTGGAATAGTTTAAGCGATATTAAGTCTGGCCTAAAGGCACAGGGAGGGGTCCCACTGGGCAAGGAGCCTGGGATTCCAGTGTCAGGGAAAGGGCGGGGGTACAGGCCTGGTACCCAGCATGCATCTCCTCCCCCCTCCGACCGCCCCACCCCGGCAGCCAGCCACAGCTCTGCGGGGGCACCTGGACCTCCACTCTCTGACCCCCTGTAGAGGGGCACAGGGAAGTCCCACCGACCTGGCAGGGTTGGCTTCCCAGCTTTGGCCTGTACCAGCCTCGTGAGATCCAGGAGAATCCGACCTGAATCACCCTGCCTATTGCTGGGATGGCAATGAGAATCCAGCCTTTGTGACATTCTGGTCCCTGCCAGGTGATGCTTCTGGGGCTGGGACAGGGAAGGGTCACTACAGGAGAGGAGAGCCAAGCTGAGAGCATGGCCACTATGGTAAAGGGCGAGAGATGACCCTTTCACATGTTTTCACACACAGGGGTCATCTAAGTCACCACTGAAAGCATCTGGTGAAACTTGAGGTTGGGGCTGCCTTTAATTGCTCGAACTACCACCAGCTGGGGAAACTGAGGCAGCCCTCCCAGGCCCTGGCCCTCAGCCCTTTGCCCCTGGTCTCCTCTGGGGACTTCCTAAACTCCTTAGGGGCAGCACTCCCACAGCGCTGCAGAATAAAGAAATGAACAAATGGGGAGGAGACTTGGTGGGCCTGAAGTGCTGACCAGATCCCTCTAAAACTCACCCCCACCCCAACCTGCTGCTCCCTTAGACTCATTTTTGTCCCCAGTTCAATACATGGCATCACTATCACCCAGTTACTAGATCCAGGAGTCTAAGGCATCACTCTGATTCTGCAGTCAGTTCATCTGCACACAAAATGTTTCTCATGTTGCTCCATCTCCACCGCTACCAGCCTTGCCCATTCCGCCATTACTTCCCTTCCGGATGATCACAAAGGTCTCCAAACTGGATGCTTGCTTCCTCCCCTCTATTTCATGCTCCAATATTGCCACTGACTTTTTTTTAAAATTAATTAATTTATTTTTTGAGGAGTGGGGGTAAGGGCAGAGAACAAGGGAAAGAGAGAGTCCCAAGCAGGCTCCACACTTTCAGCACGGAGCCTCAGGAGGGGTTCGAACTCACGAACCGTGAGATGATGACCTGAGCCAAAACCAAGAGTCAGACACTAAACCGACTGAGCCACCCAAGCACTCCACCACTGATCTTTTACAACTGAAAATAGCAAGCCTTGACCAGTTGAGCGGGAAAAAAAAATCCCAATTTCTTTCTTTGGCCTCAACTCCCATTTCATCTCTCCTTTATCCATTCCACTCAGTTACACTGGCCTTCTGTCAGTTTCTAATATAGATCAAGCTCTTTTTGCCTTAAAGCCTTTGACCTTGCTGTTGCTTCGGCCTGGAACACTCTCCCCCCAGAGCTTGGCATGGCTGGCACCATCTCGTCCTTTAGGTATTAGCTTAGACGTCCCATTCTGAGGGAGGTCTTTCCTGAATGCTGAATCTAAACCTCACCCCAAACTTTCTCCCAGAAACCTGTTAATTTCCTTCATGGCATATGTTGCAGGTTGCAATAATTTATTTAATTATTCCCACTAGAATGAAAACTGCACAGGGACAGAGACTGCTTATGTGTCAACCATAGATTTATTTTTCTTCTTAAGTAAACTGTTATTAAAGTATATAACATATAGTCAAAGAAATGTACACATCCTAAGTGTACATTTGTCACAAATGAACACACCGGTGTAACCAGCACCCAGATCAGGAAAGAAAATTCTCCCAGCCACTTAGAGTTCCCCACATGGATCCTCACTCATAGCTAAACACTGTCCGGATTGGATTCCTTTTTGCCAGTTTTGAACCTTATGTAAATAAAATGATCCCTAGAGATGCTTGCATCCTAACCCTTACCTTTAAATATGTTACCTTGCATAGCAAAGGGGACTTTGCAGATGTGATTGACTTAAGGACCTTGAGATGGGAAGATTATGCTGGGTTATGGGGCAGGCTCAATGTCATCATAGGGTCTTTAAAAAGCGGAAGAGAGGGGCACCTGGGTGGCTCAGTTGATTAAGCCGCCAACTTCGGCTCAGGTCATGATCTCACAATTTGTGGACTTGAGCCCCGTGTCAGGCTCTGTGTTGACAGCTCAGAGCCTGGAGACTGCTTCAGATTCTGTGTCTCCCTCTCTCTCTCTGCCCCTCCTCCACTCACACTCTATCTCTCTCAAAACTGAATAAATGGTTAAAAAAAAAAAGTGGAAGAGAGAAGTAGAAAGGTCAGAGTGATGCAGTATGAGAAAGATACAACCTGCTGTTGATAGCTTTGAAGATGGAAGAAGGGGGCCATGAGCCAAGGAATGTGGGTGGCATTTAGAAGGTATAAACCCAAGGAAACTGATTCTTCCCTAGAGCTTCCAGAAGGGAATACAGCCTTGCAGAAACCTATATTTCAGCCATCGAGAGCCATGTCGGACTTCTAACCTACAAAACTGTCAGTAAGTTTATGTTTTCTTTTTTTTTTTTTTTTTAATTTCCGAGAGAGAGAGAGAGAGAGAGAGAGAGAGAGAGAGCAGTGGGAGCAGAAGAGTGTCAGAGAGAGAGGGAGACACAGAATGTGAAACAGGCTCCAGGCTCTGAGCTAGCTGTCAGCATGAACCCATGAACCATGAGATCATGACCTGAGCCGAAGTCGGACGCTTAACCGACTGAGCCACCCAGGTGCCCCAAATTTATGTTGTTTCAACTCACTAAATTTGAGGTAACTTGTTATAGAAATAATAGGATGCTGAGGCGCCTGGGTGACTCAGTCGGTTAAGTATCCGACTTCGGCTCAGGTCATGGTCTCACCATTTGTGAGTTCCAGCCCTGGGCCAGGCTCTGTGCTGACAGCTCAGAGCCTGGAGCCTGCTTCAGATTCTGTATCTCCTTCTCTCTCTGCCTCCCCTACTTGTGTTCTGTACCTCTCTGTCTCTCAAAAATAAATAAATTAAAAAAAAATAATAGAATGCCAATTCGAGTACTTACTTTTTATGTTATGCCTGGCATCTTTCACTCAACAGTTTATTTGTACTATATAATCTTCCATTGCACGTGGATACCACATTTTATTCATTGACTATTGATGGACATTTGGGTTGTTTCCAGTTTGGGCTATTATCAGTTATGCTGCTATGAACATTCTTGTACATGTCTTTCGTTAACATATGTAAATATTTCTTTTTTTTTTTAAGTTTATTTATTTGTGAGAGAGAAAGAAAGCACAAGCAGGGGAAGGGTAAAGAGGGAAGGAGAGAAAGAATACCAAGCAGGCTCTGCACTGTCAGCACAGAGCCCAACGCAGGGCTCAACCTCATGAACCGTGAGATCATGACCTGAGCTGAAACAAAGAGTCAGACACTTAATCGACTGAGCCACCCGGGCACCCATGTACATACTTCTGCTGCACGTATATAAGAAACAGAATGGCTAGATTATAGGATATGCATATATAATGCATACTGTGGTGCATCTCCCTGACGCCTTTTCAGGACTGAAAGATGTGTTCCCCCAACTGCTGGAAAGCCTGCTGGCTGACAGTCCTCAGCTGCCAGCCCTTTCTAAGAAGAGAGGAACTGAAAACAGCCTCTTTGCCCAAGATCACATTGCTTCCCATTCACTGCCTGCACCCATTCAATGATTTGTGGATATGAGCAGGGGAGAGGGGGGATATAAAGGCCCTCTCCCCATTGCCATTGAAGTAGCTTTGAAGGATATCTCTGGATTGAGTCCAGAGCTGTGCAGAGTTGGGGGACACTTTTATCAAAGCCATATCTCAACTCAACTCCTGCCTCTGCACACCCTATTTCCTTTCTCTTCCCCTACAAGAGTTGATCCTTCTAAAGAAGTTGAACACCTTGTCACATGTTTGTTGGGTCATTTGGTCATTTGTGAAGTGCCTGGTCGAGTCTTTTACCCATTTTTCTACTGGGCTGTCTTTCCTGTGGATTTACAGATATTCTTTCTATATTCTGGATACAAGTCCTTTGTTGGATATATATATATTTGGCAAATATATATATATTTGCCACATATATTCAGAGTTGGATATACTCAAGATGCCGCAACAGTACTAGCACATGATGGATCCAATAAAAATCAGTTACATGAATGCTTGAGTCTGATAATTCCTTTAAGGATGCTTAGAAGGTGAAATCATGAATGGCTTTAACTGGTATAACTGGGTATAAAATGTGTAAGGAGAGGGAAGGGGAGGGAAACAGGACCTTAAAGGGGAAAGTCCAGAATGCAGGTAACATACCCTCAAACTTCACCACTCCCGGCCTGAAGTTTCCGGCCACAAATATTCAGACACTCAGCTTCTTAAAGATAATTGTAAATTAACATTCATTCAATTCAAAGAGTGTCCATGGACGGTACCAATGGGTCAGCCTGTTCTAGATATTAAAGAGTCAGCTGTGAACAAAAGGGGCAAGAGCTGTGCTTTCAGGAGATGTGGAGGGAGAGGGAGAGAGAGAGAGAGAACAGCAGGTAAACAAAATAAAATCATTTCAGACACGGAGCGGTACACTGAAGGAGTTGGACGTAGATGGAGGGTGAGGTTCAACCAGCAACTGCCCCACCGAGACGCCAGGGAGGTCCCGCCCTCTGCCCCGCCTCCACCTTTGCATACGTTTTCTGATTGGTCAGAGGCGGCCGGCCCCACCCCGCGGAGCGGGCGGCTAGGGAAGCGCGGGGCGGACCCCGCCAAGATGCAGCGGCGGCTCCCGGTGTCGCCTGGCGGGCCTGGGGCAGCGCGGGCCGAAGCCGGGCAGGGGGCGCCCGCCGCGGCCCGCGTGCACTCCTAGCGCCCCAGACGTGCCGGCTGACCCCAGCCCTCCTTGCCGCCTTCCGGCCCGCCGCCCCCGCCCCTCCACCCTTTGTGCCGCCGTCGCCCGGTGCCCCCGACTCCGCAGGACCCCGGCCGGGCCGGACCGCGGCGGCGCGCCAGCCCCGCGTGGGCGCCCGGTCGGCGGCCGATGGCGAAGGGGCGCGGCGCGGGCGGGGGCACTGCAGCCCGAGTCCGCGACGCGGGAGGCCCGGCCCGCCTCCGCCGCATTGTCCCGGGCCCCGCGCCCCGGCCCTGAGCCGCGCCGCCGCAGCGCCCGCCTGCCGCCCGCCGCCCGCGGGGCCATGCGGAGAGCCGCCAGGATGGAAGACTTCACCACAGAGGAAGAGGAGCCCTGGTACGACCAGCAGGACCTGGAACAGGGTGAGCACGGCGGCGTGGGTGCGGCGGGAAAGCGGGGTGCGCCCCGCGACCCCTGTCCGCTTCTCCATTGTTGAGCAGTATCACCCCGGGGAGGGCCGGGCTGGACCCGGAGCGCCGGACTCCGAGGGTGATGCGTCTGGAGAACGCGGACGTGGAGACGGGTAGCGCTGCCTGAGAAGACCGGGGCCGGACCGGCGAAGACACACAAAAGTGGGGGGAGCGGCCATTCTGTTTCCCCGAACGACAGGGGCATACTTCACCCCGCTCACCCACCGCATCTTAGAGGCAGGAGCTGCCCAAGCGCCCCTAGTATTATTGGGGGGCCTGAGTACTGGCTAGAAGTCTTTGAAGGCTTGGAGGTGGCTCCTTGGTTATGTTTTGCTGAGAGGAATGGTGAGTGTGTGTGTGTGTGTGTGTGTGTGTGTGTGTGTGTGCGTGCGTGTGTGTGTGTGTGTGTGTGTGTGAAAGTTATCCCATTCCAAATCTGGTGCACCCTTCCCTGCCAGGATTCCTGAGCTCTAAGACTCCCAGAAAGTTTCGCCAACTTCTTTACCCTCTACCCAGGGAGGGTATAGGGGTTTGGGGACCCTGCTGACCAAGAAGCAGCAAAAACTTGGAGTCTCCAATCCTCCTAGGGAGCGGGAGGGAGGGGGGGGTGTCCCTGGCCCTTTCCCTTTCCCTCCCAGCCCTCTTTCAAATGACTCATGGTTCGAGGGAACCAGGTTGGGGCATTCTGAGCAATGCACCAGACTAGAGCCTGAGTGAAGGGGGAGCCACCTCCCCCACTCCCGTCTGAGTGTAGAGAGGATGGCGGGAAGGGGGTTAGAATCTGGTGATGAGGTGGCCTTCGTGACATCACTCTGAGTGGGAGGGGGGGGCGGGCGGGGTGGAGCTGTAGGACAGGAAGGAGGAGGAGGCCTGAGGGGGTCAAGGCCAAGGTCTGCTGGAATGCAGTCAAATCCACCCTCTCTTCCCCCAAAGCACCTCGTTCTCGGGTGGTTAGAGCTGAAGGGGCACGGAAACATGTCCAGGAGAAATGAGCACTGTCACCCAGCAAGCCAGGCGGGTGTGGACACAACTCTGGTTCAGTGTCTACTAATAGCCCTTGCTCTGAGTGGCGTCTCCGTGGGACCCCAGATGCCTAGCTTTGCCCTCATGTGAGGCATCTACCCGGATCCTGGAGCCTTTTGTTTCCTGGCCCTGACCCACATCCCCATGTGGCCAGATTTGCTGGTAGATGAAACCGTCCTTGTACTCAGGAGCGTGGGTTAATCAGTCTCTGGGGGATGAGTGTGGGACTGGGGGTGCTGGGCTGGACTCTGCCATACTCTTCACCCGGGAGTCCCACCTCAGCCTCCCTGCCTGGAGTGTGATGTCCGGTAGTGGCCGTGACAACCCCATCCCCCATGCTGGGCACTAACCCCCCAAATTTTACATCCCCCCACACCTATCAGGCTGACACCTAGGTGTCAGACACCATCCTGGGAGCTGGGAACAGTTCCAGCCCTGGCCTCCTGGGTGCACCCGGCCAGGTGGAGATGGGCCTATAACTAAGTGTGGGTGTTAGAATGCAGTAAGAGGGCTTCATGGAAGAGGCAGGCCTCGATGGAAAGGTTGGAAGCTGAGCTCCTGGGAAGATGGCTTCCTGGGAAGCTGATGCTGATATTGTTGCTGTCTCATTTCATTCCCGCACCCCTAACAATGTCTCTGGCACTGTGCCCGGCCCAGATGTGGGAGGAAGGAGCCAGGGAGTAGGGGTGGGAGATGTGTTGCTTCTGGAGAGCGAGAGATTCAAGCTGGGCTGGGCTGCCATGCTCTGGGGCCAGGGTAGGGGACGGCCTCGCTGGCCTGCAGCCGCTGGCCTTGCGTTGTAGCCCCAGTAGTAGCCAGGGTCCAGGAACAAGGAGGGAAACCAGAAATGAGGCAGTGTCAGAAGAAGTTGGACATCTTGACCAAAAAACAAATACCTGCTCACCCTGGGTGAGGGCAGAGAGCAGTGAGATAAGAAACAGAGGGCCTTCTGGTGTAATACTCATATAGGTTTATGCAAAGGGCCCTCTGAGCTAGAGAGTTCAATAGCGGCTGCCTGGGCATTCATTGTAGGTAGAAAGGATGCTGTACGAAGGCACAGAGCAACATGAAAAGCCCACATGTGACTAGAAAGTAGGAGCGTCTAGAATGCCAGGGGTGGGTTCAGAGGAAGTCTCAGGCCCAGGCACTGCAGCACCACCTCCCAGAGCCTGGCACGGAGAGCTGGATGGTGGGGCGAAGCGTCGGCCAAAGGCCAGCTACACTGGGGAATCAAGTGCCTGTAACATCCCCCTTCCCTGTACCCAGTCCCCAAATTCTCCTCTGCCCAGCTGCTCCCTGATTGCCTCTGAGTGGCTCAGGAAGAGGTTAGCTCAACCAGCTGGGTCTCCCCTCTGTGTGTGTTTCTCCCCTGCCCTGGGGGCAGGCGCCAACTTTACTTTCTGGAAGCTTGGCCTGCTGCCTGACTTTGATTCCATTCTGTCCCAGTGGAGGGAGGCAGTTGGGACAAGCAAGGTCCTAGATCGTCACCATGTTCCTTCCGCCCACTGACACAAGCATCTGTAAAAATAGAAAAATCCATTGATTGTTAAGCACACTGGTTCGCGCTCTCTTTCTCTGCCCGCCTCCCTCCTTGACCTTGGACTAGGCATGGCGGGCCCTATGGTACCTCTTTCCATGCTGAGAGATAGCTGCTGAGTCATAGATTTGAAGTCCTGGGTGCCCGACCTTGAGTCTCAGCCCTGGGCAAGAGCTCTGACATGACAAGGAGAGGGAGGTGACCGGACCCCAATTGTGTGGCCCCAGAGTTCCTGACATTCATGCCTTGGAGGCTGTAAGCAGGAACCCCACATCCCTGCCAGATGGGGTAGATCTTCTCCTCCCACTGCCTTTATCTTTGTCCCTTCCCCCTGTGCCCGACCCCTGGCCCTTTCCCACCTCTCTGCTCCAGAGCCACACCCCAACCCCAACCAGGGGGGACAGTGGGATTTCAGGGTTTCTTTTCAACGATATCTCCTTGACTGCCGGCCACTCCCTCTCAGGCCTCCGGGGCATCGCTCACAGGGAACACATGTCAGCAGGCACTCAGAGGGCAACACCGCCGAAGCCCACTACTGGAGACCCCAGAAAACTCCAGGGCCCAGGGGAGACGCCCATTCAGACTCGGTACCTTCCCCGGCTTTGTCCAGTGTGACCATTAATCTGGCCATGACAGACTGTTTATCACTCTGATTTCTACTTCCTCCTTAGCCGGCTCCCTCCTTCTCCCACCCCCTGACTTCCCCCACCCCTGGTCCAGGGGGAGTCGCACTCTGCCCTGAGCTCAGAGACACCGCCAGGCCCCCTCTAGCTGGTGTACTTTCCCCAGCGCTTGGCTCCAGCCAGTTCCCTGCCCTGCAGCTTCTGGCTTCTCCTGTGATCCCTCCTCACAGCTTTGACCAGCTTAGCTTGCATCGTGATCCAGTTTCCCTGAGACACTCTCTGAGATTTTTCTCCCACCGCAGACAGCTTCTATCGTGTTCCCTTCCTCCCCTCCCCTGAGTCACTGGGTGGCCTGGTTACATTCGGTGCCTTTGCAACGCAGGCTCCTGTGTTCCTGGTTTATAGTGTGACTTGCAGCTGGCCCCGCCTGCCAGAGGTAGGAACACACACACCCGGCTCACGTGCCCACCTGGAAGGAAAAGCATAAAATGCAGTTGCTCCCGACCTTTCCTCACTCAGCTTCAGAGCCTGGGGTCTTGGACTCTAGGTTAAGCTGCAGGCCACCTGACAGTTCCCCAGGGAGAAAACACTGATGACCGTGGCCTTGTGTTCTTTGTCACTGATACCTGAGTTATTTGATACTGTTTGGGGGTGAGCCAGCTGTTTACCATCTCACTACAGAGAGGAGGAAGGCGGTACGGCTCCATCATTGCCAACTGGACGTGGTCTTGCTGGGCTCCCGAATTTCTACTGAGCACTCGACATAACATAGGGCTGCACAGTTCTACGATGTTAAACATCAGACTTCACACTTTATAGATGGACGAGCGCAGAGGCCTTCACACTTTGTAGACTTCTCCACAACTCATAGTTAATAAACTCATACTGCAAGTGGCCCATTCCCCGACTGGTCTGTATCAGGTACCTGGTTTTTATTGCCATCATCATCTGATGTTAATTGCTCAAAGCTGAAGGTTCTTCTGAGATTTACATGATTGTTTTTCTTTCTTCTTTTTTAAATGTTCATTTATTTTTGAGAGAGAGAGAGAGTGTGTGTGAGGGGGGAGAGGCAGAGAGAGAGACACACACAGAATCCAAAGCAGACTCCAGGCTCTGGGCTCTGGGCTGTCAGCACAGAACCCGACTCAGGGCTCGAACCCACAAACTGCCTGAGCCGAAGTCTAACACTTAACCGACCAAGCCACCCAGGTGCCCCTGTGCCAAATTGTTAAGTGAAAAAAGCACGTACAGAAAAACATCCTGTTCACACGAAATTGTACCTATAGCTGCTTTAAGCCCAGAGAGCTGTTTATAAGAATGGTGACCAGCATGTGGACAGCGTCTTTCTCTAAATGGGGCATTTTCATCTACCTGCTTCCTCCTCTCTCCTCCCACACCGCACACGCAGGCTGTGACTTCTGTTACTTACAAATAATCATTCTGTCATAACCATTTGAGGCCATATGCATTTGTTTATGGAATTCCCAGTAATAGATCTAAGAATATGTGAGGTCCGTTTTCAAGTAATTTTTTGGTCACCATTTTTTTTATGTGTACATGACATTTTTATTTACATGAAGATTTATGTTTTACAATTTTCTTCTCTTATGAACTAATGTATTTTTTCTTCCTTAAATAGTTTATTGTCAAGTTGGTTCACATATAACACCCAGTGCTCATCCCAACAAGTGCCCTCCTCCATGCCCATCACCCCCCCTTCCCCTCACCCCCACCCCCATCAGCCCTCAGTTTGTTCTCGGCATTCAAGAGTCTCATGGTTTGCCTCCCTCCATCTCCCCAACTATTTTCCCCCTTCTTCTCCTGCATTGTCCTCTGTTAACTTCCTCCTAATCCACCTATATGTGTAAACATATGGTATCTGTCCTTCTCTGCCTGACTTATTTTGCTCAGCCTAACACCCTCTAGTTCCATCCATGTTGCTGCAAAAGGCCAGATTTTGGTCACCATTCTTAACCTTTCTGTGCTGTTTGATTTTTTACATCAAGTACACTTAACACAAACTTTAAAGTGATTTTCAAAAGAAAAGAGCCTTGCGAACTCAATCAGAGCCTATCTACCAACCTCTTTAAGGGTCTTGCTTCCTAACACCAGTCTCTGCCCCCAGATTAAACTGCCCTCAGTGGTTTTGTTTGTTTGTTTTTGTTTTAACAGCTTTTTTGAGATATAATTCACACACCAGCTAATTCACTCATTTAAAGTGCACAGCAACTTGGGGCGCCTGGGTGGCTCAGTCTGTTGAGCATCTGACTCTTGATTTTGGCTCAGATCATGATTCCAAGGTCATGGGATTGAGCCCCACATTGGACTCTGCTCTGAGCATAGAGTCTGCTTAAGATTTTCTCTCCCTCAGGGTGCCTTGAAAGCTCAGTCCGTTGAGCATCAAACTTTGGCTCAGGTCATGATTTCGGGGTTCGCGAGTTAGAGCCTCACATCAGGCTCTGCACAGTGCAGAGCCTGCTTGGGATTCTGTCTCCCTCCATCTCTGGCCCTCCCCCATTCACTGGCACATGCTTGCTTTCTCTCTCTCTCTCAAAATAAGTAAATAAACATTAAAATATAGGGGCAACTGGGTGGTTCAGTCAATGACCTCGGCGGCTCAGGTCACAATCTCAGAGTTCATGAATTCAAGCCCCACGTGTGGCTCTTTGCTAATAGCTCAGAATCTGAAGCCTGTTTCAGATTCTTTCTCCGGCTCTCTCTGCCCCTCCCCGACTCATGCACTATCTCTCTTTCTCTCTCTCAACTATAAATAAACATTTTAAAAAATTGGGGGTGCCTGGGTGGCTCAGAGGGTTGAGCATCTGACTGCGACTCAGGTCATGATCTCACAGTTCATGGGTTCGAGCCCTGTGTCGGGCTCTGTGCTGACAGCTCAGAGCCTAGAACCTGCTTCCAATTCTGTCTCCCTCTCTCTGCCCCTCCCCCACTCCTGCTCTGTTTCTCTGCCTCTCAAAAATAAATACACATTGAAAAAAAAATTTAATTTTAAATATATATAAAGAAATAATAAAGTGTCCCCTTATGATAATAAGTATGTTGTTTCCTTTGTTTCTAAGAAGAATGAGGCATATATATCGAGAAATACCTACTCCAAATGTCTAGGTGCCCTCACACAACTCCAGACCCACTAGAGAGAATTTTTAGGGAAACCAGCACCTGCCATTTCCTTTTAATCCGTCCCCCTCCCCACCACACAGCCACCCCAGAAGCAGGCTAGATCCCCTCCCAGCCTCTCTGACAGTGTTCGTGCACCTTTGGCTGGGGTCGGGGAGAGCAGGTTCCGGTCCTAGGGTACAAGAATCAGGGCTTCTGGGAGCAAGATGATGATGGTTTTGCTGCCCTGTGAAAGGAGGTTTCTGAGAGGGGCACATATCACTAGGACCAAATGGTCCCCAGCCAGGGTCAGGAGACCTGAATTCTGCTTCCAATGTGGCCATAACCTTGGGCAAGTCATTCTTCCCTCTCCTTCTCCAGCCTGTCCTCCATGGAATAAGGATGTTGGGCCAAAGAACTCTGAAGCCTCATTCAGTTTTTTTTTAAATAAAGTCCTAGCTCCTTCTTTTTTTTTAAGATTTTTTTAAAAATTAATTTTTAGAGGGGCACCTGGGTGGCTTAGTCGGTTAAGCGTCCGACTTTCGCTTAGGTCATGATCCCGCAGTTTATGGGTTCGAGCCCCGCGTCGGGCTCTGTGCTGACTGCCAGCTCAGAGCCTGGAGCCTGTTTCAGAGTCTGTGACTCCCTCTCTCTCTGACCCTCCCCTGCTCACGCTGTCTCTCTCTCTCTCCTAGAAATGGATAAAACATTAAAAAAAAAAAAATTTTTTTTTAAATTTTAATTTTTAGTAATCTCTACCCAACCTGGGGCTCAAACTCACAGCCTCGGGATCAAGAGTGACATGTTCTACTGACTAAGCCAGCCAGGCGCCCCTCACCCAATTCTAATATCCAGCAAGTCTTTCTGTTTCTTTTGCCTCTCGGTGAGGTCCTAGTCACCCTTCCAAACCCAACCTGAAAGCTCACTCAGCCTCCCGCTGAGCCCAGGGAGAGTGAGCTCTCCCTTACCATCATCCCAGGGCACTTTGCCCCATGTCTATCGATTGTCTGATCACATTCCTCTCGTTCTTTCAGAAAATATTTATTATGCACCTGCTGTATGCCAGGCACTGTGGTAGGTCTTGGGATACCAGTGAACAAAATGGGCAAAATCCCTGCCCTGTGAGCTTACAGTTAGTCAGGGAGGGAATGAACAAGATAAATGATATGCCAGGGGTGCCCGGGTGGCTTAGTCGGTTAAGCGTCCGACTTTCGCTTAGGTCATGATCTCGCGGTTCGTGGGTTCGAGCCCCGCGTCGGGCTCTGTGCTGACTGCCAGCTCAGAGCCTGGAGCCTGTTTCAGAGTCTGTGACTCCCTCTCTCTCTGACCCTCCCCTGTTCACGCTGTCTCTCTCTCTCCCCTAGAAATAAAAAAATATATATATTTAAAAAAAAAAGATAAATGATATGCCAAACTGTTTGGTAAGTTAGATGGTGATATTCACTAAGGAGAAAAATTAAACAGAGAGGGAGTATGAGGCGGGGGCGGGTGTGATTTTGAGTCTGTGGTCAGGGAAGGGCTCCTGGAGAAGGTGACATTTAAGCACAGAGTGGAAGGTGGAGAGGGATGAGCCTTGGGAGGGTCTGGGGAGAGAGAGGACATTGCAGGAAGAAGCGACAGTCAGTGTAAAGTCTTAGTCCCTGGCTTCCATCCCCTCCAAGGCCCGCGGGCTCCGAGGCCAGCTTGTGTCCTGGTTGTCTTGGAGTCCCCAAGGCACAGAATGCATGCTGGGAACATTTATGGGAGTCCTCTGAGCCCGTTCAGTTCCTCAGGTTCCTCCCACCCTCTGCCCCCTCTTCCACTAGACTTGCACTTGGCCGCAGAGCTGGGGAAGACCCTGCTGGAGAGGAACAAGGAGCTGGAGGAGTCTCTGCAGCAGATGTACTCCACCAACGAGGAGCAAGTGCAGGAGATCGAGGTGAGGGGCCACACAGGCCCTGCACGTGCTCCCCCGCCCACTGAGGACCCCTTGGCCCGTGGTGCCTTTGTTATGACTTAGGGAAAGGTGCCCTCTTAGCAGACACAGCCTTGGTCCTATAGCTTGTGCCGGTTCACAACCTGTACAACTATCCCGGGCAGCCATTGCACCACCATCTTTACCCCCAGCTCTGCTGCAGACCAGTACCTCGAAGCAAACGTGTTCCTAGAAGTAGGAGAATGGCCCATGACATTGTCCCCAGCCCTGTCAACCTTCTCCCCTCCAGTACCTAACCAAGCAGCTGGACACGCTGCGGCACATGAATGAGCAGCATGCCAAAGTGTACGAACAGCTGGACCTGACAGCCCGCGACCTGGAACTGACCAACCAGAAGCTGGTGCTGGAGAGTAAGGCTGCCCAGCAGAAGATCCATGGGTGAGGGCCGGGCGGGGAGGGCCGGGGGGCGAGCGAGGGAGCGGTCAGGTTGGGTTGTAGATAGGCATGTTGGCCAGTGGCTCTGACTCACGCTCCTTCTCCCAGAAGCCCGGGCCTGAACCCCGGGATGGTAGTGAAATTGCCCTTGTCAATTGTGGGTGGTTTCACGTTCAGGCCACACCCCTTCTTGAAGCACCAGCTACATAGCAGGCTCTGTTTAGGCACTGGGGGTACAGTGACGGGGATACAGAGAGACAGCCCCACCCCCAGGAGCTCACAGCCTAGGTGAAGACAGGCATGTGAATATTTTATTGCCGTGCAGGGTGATAAGTGCTCCAATGGTGTAGAAGGGACCGAGGTGGCACAGGGAGGATGGGCAGCTCAGCCCGGGAAGTGCAGAAGAAGGGCGGGTCCTCAGGTACAAGGGGAGTTCCGTTTGACCTCAGCACCAGGAAGTGGGGTTCAAGGTTGCCCATCTGTCCCCACCTCCACCCCCAGTCCCTCCAGGGCTGCAGTGAGGAGGGCTGGCCCCGTCCCCTTAAAGTCCCTCCCGTGTATGTCCCCCACCCCACCTCCAGGCTGACAGAGACCATTGAGCGCCTGCAGGCCCAGGTGGAGGAGCTTCAGGCCCAAGTGGAGCAGCTGCGGGGCCTGGAGCAGCTGCGAGTGCGCCGGGAGAAGCGGGAACGCAGGCGCACCATCCACACCTTCCCCTGTCTCAAGGAGCTGTGCACCAGCCCCCGGTAGGTGAGGGTGACACAGGGGGCAGGGTGAGGGCGGTCTGGACCCTGCACGGCGTCCCCGAGTCCCGGAGGAAGGAGAGGGTGGGCACGAGGCAGCAGGTGGGAATGAGAGTTGGCGCATCACCAGGCTGTCGGAGGGACTGATCCCGTTGCCAACAACAGGCGGCAGCTGGCATTTAGCGAGCCCTGGCCGTGGGCCCGCCACTCAAAGTGATTTCACTCCCGTGGCGATCCCGCCAGGTACGTTTTATCACCTCCGCTACTCAGATGAGGAAAAGGAAGCTCAGAGGTTATGGGAGCTTATCCAAGGTCACCTCTTTACTAAGCTAGAATTCTAACTCAGGAGGAGTTAACCACTACACCTTTCAGTTCCCAGTAAATCTTAGCGGGATGACCTCTTAATGTAAAAATACCCGTTGTGTGTTTAGTGGGTGTTTCGGTCAAGGTCCTGGCAGGAGACAGCACCTTGCACGGAGTAACTGAGGAGCGATGGATGAAGAGGTGTGGACGAGGTGTGGGGAGACCGCAGGGACACTGCAGCTTCCCCAGGCTTGCAAACAGCAAGGAGCTGTTACCACCCCCAGTCCTGAAGGCACCAGGGGAAGGATGCTACTGGAAGTCCAGCAGGGGCTGCCGGGCCAGGACTAACCAGGAAAGGAATCTGGGGAAGACCTTCCCTGACCTCCCTCTGCTCCCACCCTCGGACCTGCTGGCTGGTTGAGCTCCGGAGAGAGCAGAAACCCGGCTGACGCAGGTCACTGCCCAGGGCAGAGAGAAGGGAGAGAAAGGGCAGAGAGTGGAGCAAACAGAAGATCTTGCCCATTGGCCGGGAGATCTGCTAAGCGTGGGTAGCTGGATCCCGGGACCTTGGCCTTGACCAGATGTCTGCCGGCCTGCTCCCTCTCAGGTGCGAGGATGCCTTCCGCCTGCACAGCTCCTCCTTGGAGCTAGGCCCGCGGCCCCTGGAGGAGAACGAGCGGCTGCAGACGTTGGTGGGCGTGCTGCGTTCCCAGGTGAGCCAGGAGCGGCAGCGCAAGGAGCGGGCGGAGCGGGAGTACGCGGCGGTGCTGCAGGAGTACGCGGAGCTGGAGCGGCAGCTGTGCGACCTGGAGGCCTGCCGCCTCCGCGTGCAGGAGCTGGAGGCCGAGCTGCTGGAGCTGCAGCAGATGAAGCAGGCGAAGACCTACCTGCTGGGCCGGGAGGACCACCTGGCCGAGGCCCTGCTCGCGCCCCTCACCCAGGCCCCGGAGGCCGATGACCCCCAGCCCGGCAGCGGGGACGACTCGGCCGCCCAGGACGGCGTCTCCTCCCCGGCCGCCTCCCCGGGCCACGCCGTGCGCAAGAGCTGCAGCGACACCGCGCTCAACGCCATCGTGGCCAAAGACCCGGCCAGCCGGCACGCGGGCAACCTGACGCTGCATGCCAACAGCGTGCGCAAGCGGGGCATGTCCATCCTGCGCGAGGTGGACGAGCAGTACCACGCGCTGCTCGAGAAGTACGAGGAGCTGCTGAGCAAGTGCCGGCAGCAAGGCGCGGGCGTGCGGCACGCGGGCGTGCAGACCTCGCGGCCCATCTCGCGAGACAGCTCGTGGAGAGACCTTCGCGGGGGCGAGGAGGGCCAGGGGGAGGCCAGGGCAGGTGAGAAGAGCCTGAGCCAGCACGTGGAGGCTGTGGACAAGCGGCTGGAGCAGAGCCAGCCTGAGTACAAGGCGCTCTTCAAAGAGATCTTCTCCAGGATCCAGAAGACCAAGGCCGACATCAATGCCACCAAAGTGAAGACGCACAGCAGCAAGTGACCCTTTCCCCCCGCCTGCAGCCTCCCCCGAGGGTCAAACCACGCCCCCCCTTGCAGCCTCTGGTGAGTGGGGGAACCCTTTAGCAGCAATATAGCCCAGGGGAGGCTGCTGCCTGGCCCAGGGAGCGCGTGGGGGACCCAGCCTGTTCTCTGCTGACTTGGGAGGTGTTCGACACCTCCCAGATCGCCCAGAAGCCTCCAGCATCCTGCGTCAGCCCAAAGACGCAGCTAAGAGTTTCAAAGCCAAACATCCCCACCCCCACCCCCACCCCCGGGGATTCCCAGCTCCCCAGCCCTTGGCTTCCTGACCCTGGGCCTTGCTCTCAGATTCTTGGCCAGGCTTCTGAAAGCCATTCTGGACCACTTGGCTTTTTCTTTTTCCTTTCAAAGTTGTTGTTTGCTTGTTTGTTTTTAGAGATTTGCAATGCAAGGTCTCCCTGACCCCTTGCCACAACTGGAAACACTTGAAGGGGGATCCCAGAGCCAGCCGTTGCGGGTTCCAGGGGTCTCCTGGACCACCCACTGCTTCTCCCCAGCTGTGACACGCTGTCATTCCCTTAGCACCAGCTGCCCTCCTCCCCCCAGAGTCCTGACCGGGTCAGAGACGGCTCCTGCCACACAGAGCCTCTGCCAGGCCCCGAGTGCCCCCACTCCAGCCCTGGTGAGCCAGGCTTTCCCCTGGAGACCCTCAGCCCACTGCAGATCTGTAGCCAATCAGAGGAGGGGAACAGAGAGCCCCTCGGCAGCCATACATGAACAGTGCACCCTGCCTCCCCCACAGCCAGCCTCCTCGGGCTCCGGCCCTGGAAATGCCTTCTGGCCATTAAGCCTTCCAGGAGTCTGGGCGGCGGGGAGCCCCCATGTCTGCACGCCACCTCTGACCTGCCGAGCTTGGCCTCTGCCTGCCCCCATCTCAGGGACCATGACGTGTCTCACTCACTCCCATGCTCCCCACAGGCCGACCCCTCCTCAGATCATGCCTGCTGCCCCCAGAATGTCCCAGGTGTGTGCCACCAGCCAGTGGTCCTGGCATCCGCCCCTGCCCCCCCCTTCATGGGGGACTCCCCAAGATTTCCCACCCTGTACTGAGCAGTGTTGAAATGGGACCTGGTGGGGAACGTGTCTCCTCCCTCCCATAAAATGCTGGTTCTTAACCTCCCACCTTTGTGGGGGCCTTTTGAGGACCCAGCTGGGTCACGGGCTAAACCTTTTGTTAAGGCTTCAGAAAGTCCAGCTTCAGCTAAGAGATGTCCAGGCCTCCACCTTGCCCTGAGCAGTTCCTCGCGGCTCCCAGTCCCTTCTGCCACCCATCCTGAGATCCCAGAAAATAGAGGAGCTCCATAGCCCGGCGGAAGGCGGCAGCCGTGGCCTCTGTGCTGGGAATCCAGCAGGGACCTTCATGCCTTATCTGTTTCTAAAGGGGTTTTCGTAACAAGCGTGCCCGACCTCCCTGGAGGCGCCACCCTGCTCTCTGGGCATCACTGTGATGAGCGCTGTCGGCTGGTCCTTCCGTTCACACATCTTGGAGCCCTTTGTCCTTTGGAGCTGGGCAGCTCCCAGCCCTCCATGTGTCTCTGTTATCTAGGGTGGAAGGGGTGGGGGGGGAGGGCTCCTGCCTGTTTGCTCCCCATTTCTGTAGCGGCCGACCAGCGTCACCTTTGAAGTATACATGAGAGAAATATATTTACAAATGCTTTATTCTCTTCTTTAATAAAAAATGCACCAGTATTCTAAAAGCAGAAATGGCCCTGGAGCCATGGTCCTGTCTCTGTGCACCTCAAACACCCACCTCTCATCACATAGCTCTGGGGATAGGGGAGCTGGGAGTCCTGAGCTCCACTCCCCTGGGATTTGCAGCCAAACAGCTGAGTGCCTGGGGGTGTTATCCAGGCAGAGAGGGGGTGGTGGTGAAGGAATCAGGTTCCTGGAAGAAGAGGTGGAATTGCCCACCCACTCATGCCTAGAGGCATGAGCTATCTGCCCAGCCCCTGGGGAGGTGGAGGGCGGGGGGAGAGGAGGTGGGTCTGGAATAGAGCTAGTAAGATTGGATTTCCCACCCCAGTGCTAAAGAGAAACAAAAAATAAAAGCCACCTGATCTCTGAAAGTAAGAAGTTCCTTATCACCCCTTAGCAGCAGCTAACTTGGTTGTCTGCTGGCTCTGTACCAGGCAGTGTTGAGTGCTTTCCTGGGTTTAATACCTTCAGCAACCTTGGGAGGCAGCTCTCAAATCTCTATCTTCCTGGTGGAGATTCTGAGGCTTAGAGGTTAAGTTAGTAATTCAAGGTTACATAGAAATACTAAAACCTGGGGCACCAGGGTGGCTCAGTCGGTTAAGCGTCTGACTCTCAGGTTCTGCTCTCAGGTCATGATCTCATGGTTTCTTGAGTTCGAGCCCCACCTCAGGCTCTTTGCTGATAATGCAGAGCCTGCTTGGGATTCTCTCTCTCCCTCTCTCTATTGGGTCCCTGCTTGCGCTGTCTATGCTCTCTCAAGATAAATAAATAAATCAACCAACCAATTCCACCATGCAATATTGCACATTCTCTATCTCTTTATAATGTTCATTTTTAAGAGCCAGTCTGACCCAGGGCAGTCCAGAAAAGAAGAAACGAAGACCCTGTGGGTCCCCTACAAGGTAGTGGTCCCCCAGCTCAGAGGCCATAGAGAAGGGCTGGCGCCTGCAAGCTCCGGGGCTGCCGGGAATGTCCTGGTGATGCTTTATCTTTTCTTCCCTTCTTTTCTACTTGCCCCTGTGAATGTCCCCTTCTTGAAGCACCGTTTCAGCCTGTGGAGGACCAAGGAGGGAAGGAGAAGGCTGGCCTCTGCCTTTAGTGGCCACCTTTTTAGGGGAACAGGTGGCACCTCTCAGGCCTGTTTCTTCCAGAAGGGCCTCTATTCTGGATGGTTCGGGACAGCAGCAGGTGAGAGGAGCTTGCCAGCTGCTCTTCTCTCTACCCCGGGGTAGCTTGTCTCACTCTCCTCTCCCAGAATCCAGGCCACCAGATGGCCTGAGCAGGCTGTGTTTATTTGGGGCCATGGAAACCTACAGCTCCCTTTTTCTATCACTCTGTGTCAGGAACAGGGCTGGAGCCCAGCTTCAGAGCAATCATGCCTTGGAATGGTGCTGACTTTATTATTCATAATCCCTGAGCTGTCGACCTGAGTGAGTTCCTGGCTTTGCTCCCGAGAGCAGTTTATTCTAGTCACCATGGAGATGCCTCTGTTCCCTCTGAGGTCTTGGGACTAAGACAAGGAAGGACCCAAGAGATCCCCCTTCCAGCCTACAGCCCAAAAGGTGTATGTCAATTGCTTTTCCCTTTCTAGGTTGCTTTCACAAAGCCAGTGCTTGGGAAGGAGTTTATTCCCTCCTAAAGAATATGCCTGTAGCAACGAGGCTAAAATGGTAAAGCCTGTATTTGATGACAATCTCCTATTTGAAACCGGCAGCATCCCCAAGGGGCATATTTTTCTAGGGAACTGTGCTTTAACTAAAAATAGAACGCTTATTACAAAACAATCACGAGGATTACTAATAATCGCTAATCATCTATTGAGCTGTTTTTATTAAAACACGGTGCCTCTCAACAAAGTAACTCACCCAACACTTAGCTGTTTACAAACAGTGCGTGCTCTACTTTGGACCTTTCTCAGAGGTGGAATTTCTGTTTTGAAGTTCACGTTTTAATGATGTGCGAAACAGAGCCACATGGAAAAATTAAATTTCCTAACAACTTACAGCCCATTGACAAGTCCCTGAGACAGCAGAGTGACCTTCCTCCAAGAATGCCCACTTTTCTTAATGTTAATGTTAATACTTTGCTAGAAGACAAACTGATAGAGATCACAGTCATATAGGACAGGGGTCTCTTTGGTTTACAACTGTCTTGATGACTTACAAGGAAAAAAAGCAATGTTATCAACAGCCAAACTCCCAAAAACCTATAGATTCAATTTCCTGAGACCCTGACATCACCCTCGCCTTCTTAGGATAGAAAATCTTAGAGAATCAGTCACTCCTCACAACCCCAGTGCAGCTCTTTCTGCCTATGGGTCCTGTCTCTGAGCTTTCATAAAACCACCCTTTTTTCCACTGAAGACATCTCAAGAATTCTTTCGTAGTCCTCAGCTCGGAACTCCAACACTTCAAATTGGATCATTAAGAACCCTGAAAAAGGGCTCTGCTTAGCCTGTCTTTGGCTGCCTGAATCTCCTACTCACCTCCCCAGCTTTCCTTTATCTCCTGGCTAGGAGAAACTGTCATCATGCACCACAAAACTACTGTTTCTTCTGTGAGGGGCTGTGGGTCCACTTTTAAAAACATTCCTTTCATGGGGCTCAGTCCGTGAAGCGTCTGACTCTGCTCAGGTGGTAATCTTGCCGGCCCTTCATGGGGTCCAGCCCTGTCCCGCTCTGTGCTGACAGCTCAGAGCCTGGAGCCTGCTTTGGATTCTGTGTCCTCTCTCTGCCCCTCCTCCGCTCACACTCTTGTCTCTGTCTCTCTCAAAAAATAAATACACATTTAAAAAAAAACAACCGGCTGGTGTTTAGAAAAAACAAAAACAGCAACAAAAAAACATTTCCTTCTCCACCTGCCTGCTTCCCCTCCCACCTGGTATTTGTCTTGCAGAAACTTCACACTCCTGCTCCGCTGGGATATGCTTTGACTGCCTTGCGAATGAGCCTGAAGTTACTAAAATTCAGCTCTAGCAGAACTCCAACTTTCAAAAGCACGCTCCCAAAGAATTCATCTTATAAATATTTAGGTGGGGGGGGGGGGTCTATGATGTGTCAGGTGCTGGGTGCTGGAGACCTAGCAGTGAGCCAGTGCCCTCCTGCAAATTATTACAATCTGGCTGGAGACAGAGGCAATAAACTAGAAATAAGACTGAGCGATGTTTAAGGGGCGGGGAGGGGGGGGAAGTAGAGCAGAGTAAAGGGGAAGGAGACGAACTAGGTCAGGCAAGGCAGGCCTCACTGATAGTGTGAAATTTCGAGGGGAGAGCGATCTGGGAGGAGGGCACAGCCCGGGTAACGGGGAGAAGACGTGTTTCTGGGGAACACGCAATCCGGGGTTCTTTTCACCAGGAGGCTCCCTTTAGAGCCCTCTGTCTGAACAACGTCTTCCCCGGGAGCCTTGGCGCTCCAACCAGGCCTCCTGGAAGTGGCCGAAGGGGGATGTCTAACAAGTGCCCGAGACAGCGACTCCGGGAGCTCAGCTTGCCGCCTCGCAGCGACCCCGGCGGGCGCTAAAAACTGCGCGGAACCAAAGTCCCGAGGGAAGCGCGAGCTAACGGACCGCGGAAGCAAGCACCCCTCCCGGAAGCAGCCCCGAGACCCGAACATGGCGGCCGCCCGGTGCCTACGCTGGGGCCTGAGACGAGCCGAGACCTGGCTGCTCCCGCCGCCCGCGTGCTGCCCCCAGCGCGCTCTGCACAAGCAGGCCAGCGGCACAGACTTCCAGAGTATCTACAGCCTGGACAAGCTCTACCCCGAATCCCGGGGCTCGGACACCGCCTGGAGGGTCCCGGTGAGCGGGGAGAGCAGGCAGAAGGGGCGTTCCCCCCTCTGCGGTGACATCATGAAGCCGGGCCTCCATTGGCCAGGCTGGAGCAAATTGGGAGTGGCTGCCGCTCGAAGAAGGTGGCGGTGGCGGGAGGGAGCTGGCTGCCGGGGGCGGGAGAGGGGGGTTGTGCGCTGGGGCGGTGGATTGGGTGTCCTGGCGCCGGGAAGCCTTGGGGTGCGTGGGCGTCGCGAGAGCACGCTGAAGGTGTTTCCTGCGGGACCACCGCCTTTTCCGAATTCGATCCCTCCAGGCCCAAATGTGGGATTTTTCCCTTCCGAGTGGACAGTAAAACACAGAGGCTGCCAATTTGTTTGGAGCCTTTTGGGAAGTTACACTATGCGTAGCTCCTAGGAACCCCAGCGCGCCTGAGGAGACAGGAAACGGCTTGGTTTCTGCAGGATGCATTTATTGCCAGCCTGCTATGTCCAGGCTCTTTGTTAGACCCCGGGGCAGGAGACCTAGGACCCAGTCCGTTCTACTGAGTTTCCACGTACGGGACTGAAAAGAGAACATTCATTTATTCGCTCACTCATTCAACAAACTGCAGTTGAAAGCTTGGTGTGTGCACCGTGGAGGCATGCGAGATAGAGAGGCTCGGGAGAACATGATCTGATGCTTGTTGGAGTTTATCTTTTAGTGGAGGGAAGCAAGCAATAAATAAAATCAGAAATACAGAGTGTGTGAGATGGTTATAAGGACTTTTGGAGAATATAAAGCCTGGAAGGAAGGAGTCCTAAGGTAGCGCGGAGGGCTGCAATTTTAAGTGGGATGGTCTAAGAACGCCTCTGGGATGATGACATTTCCGTAGGGACCCGGATGAAGCAAGGCAGTGAGCCATGAGAAGAGAGAGGAGATGAACATCCCTGCGCCACCTCAAAGCAGTAGCATGCTCGGCTTGTTCAGGGGACAGCAAACAGGCCAGTATGGCTGAGCAGGGAGGTCAAAGCAGGCGAATCTAAAGAGGAGAGGGATGGGGTGAAGGGAGGCCTGTTTACAGAGTTAATAGGTCTTTAGCTTTACCCAGATGGGAGGTCAAGGCAGAGGAGCAGAATGACCCAGCTTAGTTTTACCAGGATCACTCTTGGGGCACCTGCCTGGCTCAGTCAGTGGAGCATGTGACTTGGAGTTGTGAGTTCAAGCCCCACACTGGCTGTAGAGGTTACCTAAAGATAAAATCTTAAAATAACAGCAAGGACAACAAAGATGATGGCTCTTCTAGGG